TTGCCCTTCCTTGACACTGTGATAATGCCTTTAGTCTAAAGCTGGCTACCAACTCTTTGCCAGCTTCTGTGATAAACGCCAGGCTAAAGAAGTAAATGCACAAAAGGAGCTTCTTGTCTAGTTGGGAGAGATTGACAAGTCATGTTGCCCAACTCCTCTGTGTCCATCTCTGTTTCTCCATGAGAGGCGCCTGGAGAAGAAGGAGCCCTGGGCAGGGGATCAGGGGTTTAGGAACCTCCCCTCGGGCTGGCTGCTGATTTTCTGTGTGATACTCTGAGCAAGTCACTCGCCTAGGTGACCAACGCATTGTGATTTGCTTTGGACTTTCTCAGTTTCAGCACTAAAGATCCCATGTCCAGAGAAACCCCTCCATCTTGGCCAAATCACTATGGTTGGTCATCCCATACTTGACCCCACACTGGCTCCTTCGTAAGACTGTGCTTTGCAGAAAAGAGCGGACTAGCATATTTTTTCTTTTTTAAAAAACGTTTTACAAGTCATACATACTGATTGCTGAAAATTGAGACAACCAAGAGAGTACTGTGCTAAAGTGGCTAATAAATATAGGAAAAGATGCTCAATTTCACTCTTAAAGAAGTGCAAATCAAAACAAGATATAATTTTCACCTCTCAAATTGGAAAAGAAAGTGAAAACATGTGATATACTTAATTTAAGCTGGAAAGGCTGTGGGGACGTGTACCCCTTCGTACTCTGTGGTGGGAATGCAAATTGGTACAACCTTTTAGGAAGTCCCTCTGGCATATCTGTTAACATTTAAGTGGGCACATCATTTGTCCTAGCAGCTCATTTTTAAAGAACATGTCATGTAGAAATACCTGCATGGATCCATGAAGGTGTACATGAAAGCATGTTCAATACAGACTTTTTGCTGTTGTAAGAAAAAAATGAAACTAATCCAAGAGTCCATAAACTGGGATGAACAATAAAACAATTCCATATGGTGGAATTTAGGCATCCACTTCTTGTTATTTCTGTTCAAAAGGGGTTTTCAAAACTTCAGTGTGCATCAGAATCACCTGGAGGTCTTGTTCAAAGAGATTGCTGGTCCTCATCTCTGGAGTTTCTGCTTTAGCGGGTCTGGGATGGAGCCCAAGATTGGAGACTATTATTCTAAGTGAAGTAACTCAGGAATGGAAAGTCAAACATCATATGTTCTCACTCATAAGGTGGTGCTAAGCTATGAGGATGCAAAGGAAGACACAATAAACTTTGGAGACTTGGGAGGAAAGGGTGAGAAGGAGATTAGGGATAAAAAAAACTGCAAATCAGTGCAGTGTATACTGTTTGGGTGATGGGTGCACCAAAATCTCATAAATCACCACTGAAGAACCTACTCATGTAACCAAACACCACCTGTTCCCCAATAACCCATGAAAACAAAAAAAATTTTTAAAAAGAATTTGCATTTCTAGAAACCTCTCAGGTGATGCTGCAAATCTCAGGATGACACTTTGAAAACTATGAATATAGAGACAAATGAGAAAACCTCCTTCAAGTGTATCTAGTCCAGACCTGGGAGCAGTACTGTTAGACATAGAGAGACCTGGGCAGAAGTCCAGGAGGGAGATGGGGGGAAGGTGTCCTCTGATTTCTCCTTTGCTGGCTTGGAGTCCTCACCTGGTCACTCAGAGTATGGAGCAAAGTGGGGCTGGATTCCTCAGGAAACATGAATACCAGGGACTCCTGCAGAACGGGTCTCAGCGGTGGGCAGAGGGAGAAAGCAGCCTGTGGGTTGGCCCTCGCAAACAAAGGCCCAGGGCTGGGAGGAGGAGAGAACGCCAGCTGGGTGACTTCTGCCAGCTGTTTGTTGGTGTCTCTGCTCCTCCCTGGGAGGCTGGCATTCTGCTTTTAAGGACAATATCAGATGCTCAGGGAATAGAGGAGCAGGTGTTCCCAGGAATCAAACCTTGAATATGAACTAACAGGTGTTGATTACTGTCTGGAAGAGCTATGTTATGGGTGGATATTGTTTTCTGCCTTCTTCTCTCTTCAACCCCAGGCTAACAACATCACCATCTCCTCAGGTAGGGCTACTCTTGAGCTCTCCCCATGTGCATCTTGTGACAGAGTGAGACTCTGTCTCAAAAAAAAAGAAAAGTAAATTTCCCATACTGATGAAAGTCAGAGATTAAGACTGCAACCTAACACCAGATCAACTGTACAGCTCACAGGATGTCTGAGCCATGAGCTGACAGGAAGGGGCCACAAGATGAGGGTCTACGAATGAAACTGATACCTCGGCTGGTAACATCTCTGCTGTCCACGGTGCTGAATAGAACCAACCATTTGCCCTTCGTAGAGGGCCACGAAAAAGAAGTTCACATGAAGGAAAAGAAAACCAACTGCCTTGGAACCTAAGCCCCTATTATGAAAGTATACAGTACATTAAGTTCTAGTCAAACTATAGTTATTTGAGGCCATTTGGTTGGACTTAGGACCAACTGATTGTTATTTCCTTTGAGAAAGAAAGTAACATTGCACACCTGGTGAGGTGTCGTGCTTGACACCTTAGCTATATTATTTATCTTAATCTTTAAAGTAATCAGCATGGAAAGGTATTATTGTCCTCATTTTACAAATGAGAAGATAGAGGCACAGAGAATTTGCTCATATTCAGTGATGAAGTGAAGGCTCAAACACAGAGATGCCAACTCCCAAAGTTAGAACTGGTGTCATTTAGACCCACATGCCCCAAGGCTAATGCTGATGGCTCTTTGTTTAGGCAGCTGCCCTGACATTTGGGTGGGTCACCAGATTGTATGTTTTCTCTCTGGGACATTTCAAATTTCAAATCTCTGAGATTCTGAAGCCATTTCAAAAGCCTTTATTGTCCTCGTACGCGCGCACACGCGCGCACACACACACACACACACACACACACACACACACCATGCCCACACAAATGAATAAGCTTCATTTGCTTTTCCACTTATGGGAATGGGATGTGAATATAAGCAAGACATTCAAATTAGAATTGACTGTTTTATTTTAATTGACCTTTGATTCCCAACTCACTATCTCCCTCCTGTCCCCGCTCTGGCCTCCTCCATCCCTTGCTGTGCTCTGTGATTCATCAGGGCCTGAGGCTCAGCAGCTGTAATTGGTTTGTAACTTCCTGGAATGTCAAAGCCAAGATGGAAATTTTACGTATCACTCCACCAATTTTGTCCTGGCTTTAATAATAACTTGGCAGAAGGAAAGGCAGATTTACAGCGGGAGAGAAATGTAATCAAATTTGGAGGTGAAATGCAATAAATACAAATGCTAGTTTTCATTTGGAAGCTTCTTAGATAAATGTAATCTCACCCAGCTCCCAGACCCAATCCTTTGTTTCTTCTCCTGGAGGCAGGGAGAGCTCTGGTGGGGTAAAAATCCTTAAAGGGAGAGTTTGTGTTCGGGGTTCTCTGCTTTGGCCCCAGCAAGTGATGGTGGTGCACTGGGAGATGACGGTGGTATGAAGTGTCAGTTAGAGGGACAGGGCTTAATTAGGGGCCTCTGTATGCTGAGTTCTGGAGGGAAAAGCAGAATTAAACACTTATTAGGCACTGTTTTAAGTGCCTTTCATGTCTTATCTATTTCAGTTTCATGACAACGCTGTCAGGTAAGGAATAGTATTCTTCCTATTTTATAGAGACATAAAGTGAGTTTTAGGGAGAGGGTTCTCAGTGATAGAATGGAGTTCTGTTTGACTTTGGAGTCTATACTATTAACCCCTCTCTTGTAGGAATACTAACTGTTGTTGTTTCTTTCTGTTCTTTTCTTTTCTTTCTTTTTTTTTTTTTTGACAGAGTCTCACTCTATTACCTAGGCTAGAGTGCAGTGGCTTGATCTCAGCTCACTGCAACCATCACCTCCCGGGTTCAAGTGAGTCTCCTGCCTCACTTGAGGCAGCCTCAGAAGTAGCTGGAATTACAGGTGTGTGATACCACACCTGGCTAAATTTTGTATCTTTAGTAGAGACCAGCCTGGCCTTAAATTCCTGACCTCAAGAGATCTGCCCATCTCAGCCTCCCAAAGTGCTGAGATTATGGGCATGAACCACTGCACCCGACCATTTTTTTTTTTCTTTTTTGAGAGACAGGGTCTTGCTCTGTCACCTAGGTTAGAGTGCAGTGGTGCGATCATAGCTGACTACAGCCTCAACCTCCTAGGATCAAGCAATCCTCCCACCCCAGCTTTTCAAGTAACTGGGACTACAGGTATGTGCCACCATGGCTGGCTAATTTTTTAAATTTTTGGAGAGCCGAGGTTTCACTATGTTACCCAGGCTGGTCTGAAACTCCTGGACTCAAGTGATTCTCCTGCTTCAGCCTCCCAGAGTTCTGGAATTACAGGCATGAGCCACCATGCCCTAATGTTTCTTGAATACTAATTTTCTAGGTGCTTATGAGAACTTTCATAACATCTCTGGATGGTAAATATTGTCCTATTGTTCTCTCCATTTATCAGGTGAGAAAACATTCTTAAGACTGACCTCCTCACAAAAGTCGATGAGAACCATGTGAAAAGATCTTCAACATCATTAGCTATTGAGAAATGCAAGGTAAACTACAATGAGATACCATTACACATCTATTGGCACAGTAAAAATAAATAGTTATAATGCCAAATGCTGGTGAGGATGTGGAGAACTGGGATCACACAATCATTGCTGGTGGCAATGTAAAATAAAACAGCCATTCTGAAATAAGATATGGCAGTTTCTTATGAAATTAAATACATGTTTGCCATACAACCCAGCAATTATACACTTGGGCATTTGTCCCAGATAAATGAAAACTTACATTCATACAAAAGCTTGTACATGAATGTTCACAGCAGCTTTATTCCTAACAGCCAATAATTGGAAACAATCCAAATGTCCTTCAAAAAGCAAACAGTTAAACAGTGGAACATCCATACTATGAATTACTATGAATAGTCAGCAATAAAAAGGAACAAGCTATTGATACATACAACCATTTGGATGAATATCAAGGGAATTATGCTGAGTGAAAGAAAAAACCAACCCTGAAAGGTTATCTGCTGTATGATTCTATTTCTATAGCATTCTTGAAATCACAAAATTATAGAAATGGAGACCAGGTTAATGATCACTGCAGATCAGAAAGTAGGGGAAGGAGGCAGGTAGCTGTTGCAATGAAAGGACAGCACAAGGGACCTCATGGTGGTAGATCTTTACTGTGGTGGTGGTGGCCACACAAATCTATGTACATGATAAAACTACATAGAACTAAGCACACACACAAGCTCACATTAGTGCGTGTAAAACTGGCAAAATCTAAGGTTGGTGGATGATATCAATGTCAATTTCCTGATTGTGATATTGTACTACATTTATGCAAGCTGTTACTACGGGGAAAATTGAGTAAAGGGCTCTGTGATTTCTCTTATTACTTTTCCTCCCTCCCACCTTTCCTCCCTCCCACCTTCCCTCCCTCCCTCCCTCCCTCCCTCCCTCCCTCCCTCCCTTCCTTCCTTCCTCTCTTTCTTTCCTTCTTTTTTTGACAGAGTCTCACTCTGTCACCTAGGCTGGAGTATAATGGCACTATCTTGGCTCACTGCAACCTCAGCTCCCCAGGTTCAAGCGATTCTCCTGCCTCAGCCCCTTGAGTAGCTGGGATTACAGGCGCACACCAACACTCCTGGCTAATTTTTGTATTTTTAGTAGAGATGGGGTTTTGCCATGTTGGCCAGGCTGGTCTTGAACTTCTGACCTCAAGTGATCTGCCCCATTGACCTCCCAAAGTGCCTGGATTACAGGCGCGAGCCACTGTGCCTGGCTTGTGATCTCTAGTATTTCTTAAAACTTCATGTGAATCAACAGTTGTCTTAAAATAATCAAAGTATGTGCTGTGTGTGTGTGTGTGTGTGTGTGTGTGTGTGTGTGTGTGTGTGTTTTGGAACGCCAGTGAGGGAAGTGGATGGAGAGGGTGCAGAGGCTTGCCCAAGTTCACACTGGGTGACAGAGCTACATGTCTTCAGGCTCATAACCTCTGTTTTGAACCACTGTCCCATCTGACAGAAAACTGTTATGTAATTTCCCCTTCCTTTTTCCATATGAGCCAAGATTACAAAGCCCATGCTCTTACTCACACCCAGGGTTGGGTATGTGAGTTCTGTACCCATCTGTCCCACAGATAGGAGGGGTCCAAGAAGGCTGGGAGCCACATCAGGTCTGAGTCATTTTAGAGAAATTAACACAGACATTGAGAGAGAGATACTGTAGTTCTGAAAGGACCATTGAAACAGAATTTTCCAAGTGCCATTTTCCCCACCACATAAAAGTAGTGTGCTTGAGAATAAATTAAATGCAGAAAATCAGAGGCAATGGATGGAAGAAGAGAGGCAGAAACCTGATGATGAAACATGAGCATTGATACCTCCTTTTCTGGATTTTTTTTTTCTATATCACCTACTTTTATTTATATCGGAAGCATCCACTTCTGGACTTCTTAGGTATATCTCTGCCTCCTGGGTTCAAGCGATTCTCTTGCCTCAGCCTCCTGACTAGCTGGGACTACAGGCACAAGCCATCACATCTGGCTAACTTTTATATTTTTAGTAGAGATGGGTTTCACCATGTTGGCCAGGCTGGTCTTGAACTCCTGACCTCAGGTGATCCACCTGCCTTGGGCCCCCCAAAGTGCTGGAATTAAAGGCTTGAACCACCACACCCAGTCCACCCTGCTTGCTGTAATGACTTCTAGCACTCTGCCCACCAGTCCAAGCTCTGCTCAACAACAGGAGTCATTAGTGAATCCATGACCCTGGGATGCCAAGACCTGGCTAGCTCCCCAGATATTTGAGGATTCTCATCTGGGATTCCCTCTTCAGAGACCCTCTGTGGGGTGCCCTGAGCTCTGTCTGGGGAGAGGGAAAGGGAGGCCATGTCCTGACATGGGAGAAGCTCCTCTGGTCTGAGGAGTAGCAAGGCACTGATTTACAGACTTCTTTTTTTTCTCAGAGTCTTTTTCCCCCTTCAGTTGTCAGCCCATCTCCAACATGATTTAAATTGGGAGTCTGAATATGTAGATTGTCACCAAGGTTCTGACACTGGCTGTGGGACAGGGGGAAGTCAGCTAATCATCAGCGTCCTCACCTGATGCCTGGGATTTGACTCCCACCAATGAATGCTCCCTATGGGAGCCTGGTGGCCTCTGCCACTAATGACTGCATGAGAACAAAGCATGAAAGTCATAGCACTTCACTGAGGTCTTCATGGAATGTTTAAGGGCATGGCTAGGTTCTGGGAGATGCTCTGCGGGTTGAGGAAGAGGGAAGCACAAGGCTTGGTGAGCTTTGAGTAGGTAAGTGCCAAAAGTTACACTCAGAGGGACCCTTACTTGCACCTGTATGGTGACTATTCTCTTCCCTCTTATTGATCTTACCGAGGAGGACAACCTTGAGGTCCTCTCCACAAATTATCCCCTGATGTCATGTTTAGATGATGATCATGTCGGGGGTAGAGGTGTGGTTGGTCAGGAAATAAGCCCCATCTTACTCCACTTTACCACTTCTCTCTTCCTCCCTTCATCCTATCCCATCCCACCTCCCTCCTCTCTCCCCAGTTGGCCATCCCCATCCCTCCCACTTCAACCCAAGCTCCTCTCATTCTTCTCTTCCACTTTTCGTTTGCTCCATTCATTTATTTTCCATTTCACTGCATTCTGCTCCCTTCCCAGCTGCACAGACTCAGAGCAAGACATGAGTCTTGTGAGATGTCTTCAGCTTGGGCTCTTACAGATTACAAGGCCCATGCTCTTACAGTTAGGGGGTGGCATGTGAGTGCTGAACTCATCAGTCCCACAAGACTGAGGAGGGGTCCAGGAGGGCTGGGAACCATGTCGGATCTGAGTCTATAGAAATTAACACAGACATTGGGAAAGAACCCTTTAGTTCTGAAAGGACCATTGAAACAATTTTCTATTATCTGTGAGTGATATTCCTCTAATGGCACCCACCCAAACTACAGCATGTGTGAATGACCCAGGAGAGTGGTTCTCAGAATCTCAAACCAAAACAACAGCAGTTACTCTCATCAGGCGCTGTCCTAAGAATGTTGATTCTCTTAAACCATATAGTAAGGCAGATATGAATGTTATCACCATTTTCCAGATGAGCAAACAGAGACACAGAATGCTAAATAACTTCGAAGAGCAAACAGCCAGAGTAGAATGGCCAGAAATTGAACCCTGGTGCCCATGTTTTATACACATTCAGTAGCAATGGTGAGTGTCTCTATTATATGGTGAACAGGCCAGGTGTGGTGGCTCACACCTGTAATTCTCCTACTTTGGAAGGCCAAGACGAGCGGGTTGCTTGAGGCCAGGAGTTGAAAACCAGCCTGACCAACATGGTGAAACTCCATCTCTACTAAAAAACATTACAAAAAATTAGCTGGGTATGGTGGCACACACCTTTAATCCCAGCTACTTGGGAGGCTGAGGCAGGAGAATCACTTGAACCTGGGAGGCAGAGGTTGCAGTAAGCTGATATCAGGCCATTGCACTCCAGCCTGGGAGACAAGAGTGAAACTCTATCTCAAAAAATAAAACAAAACAAAAAACCGGGAGAGAGAGAGAGAGAACAAAGGCTGTTTTTTATTTTCTACCTTAACAAAGTATGTGTGATGTTTAAACATTTGTGGGACAAATGGAACAGGAGCATCTAAGTCAGGAAACACTGCCTCTGCCACTCTATTCAGGTGGAACTCCCCTCACCCCTGGCTCCATGAATGGCCTTAGACCAGTTCTGTCTAGTGAGGATCCATCTGCTCCTGGCCATAGTGACTAATTCAGTGATGGGCACTTGACACAAGCCAGGTCAACAATATTTGATTTGGGATTTTAATGGCCTAAGGCAGTTAGAGAGCTGAATAGTATTTGGCCTGGGTTATGTGGTAAGCTCTGAACTAATCATTGTAGAGAAAGGACGAAAATGGGATATTATTTGTTGATTGGCCAGGCCCAGGTCATGTGCTCAGCTCTGAACCAATAATTGTAAAGAAAGGGAGGAGGCAGAATAATGGCCTCCCTAGGGAGGTCCTGGGGCTCATGGTCACCTCCATTCAAACTGCATGGACTGAGAGTAGGAGAGGAGGATCCCTAAAGAAAATTTGGGTGCTTACCTACCAGAGGATGAGGAAGTGGATGCTGGGAACGCAGAGACAAGCTGTTACTCCAACACTGCCACTCCTGCTCCTGCAGTCCTAGCCTGGGCCTGACTGGTCTCCATGGGTGCTGGGGTCAGACCCTGCCCAGGGCTGGGCCTCCCCCTTCTGGCAACATCCCCCTTCAAGCTGAGGTTGTTCCCTCCAATACTACCCTGGCTTTCTCTGAGCTGAGGAGAGCAGATGACAGATGCCTTGGGGTGCACTCTACCAAACTCTGTCTGGGTGGCCTTGGGCAAAACCACCAGGGCCCCAGGACTCAGGTGCCTGCCAGGAAGAGGCGATAATATTATAGATAGGAATGTCCCCTGAACATCTTAGAAGCAGAAGTGTTCAATGCATGGCTGATCACTTCTCTGGCAGTCCTTTTTTTTTTTTTTTTTTTTTTTTTTTTTTTTTTTAAATATTTATTGTGTTGTTGAGGTTCTGGGGCAGTTTCAAAGATGTCAGATACTCATTTAGCAGGTGGTAGTTTGGGAGAGTTTACTATTTTCAGGTATCTAGTTACTTGCCCCAAGCTTTTCTCCAAGGGATGATTTTGCATGAGATTCCTGGGCCACAGGAAACACCTTCTTCCGGGGAGACATTGAGCAATCTTTCCAATTTTTAGTATCCTTTCATACAGCTCTATAATTTGCCACATATGTGACTGGGCAGGGGAAGGAATGCTGTCAGGAGACAAAGGAAAAGTCAGTATGCTGCTTTGTTCTGAGTGAGTCCCCATCTTCTCATCCTGAACTCGTCATCATTTTGGAACTTATAATATCTACTCATAATTTTTGAAGGATATAGGCTTTTTACCAACCACTGTGCTTGGAGCTCTTGTCTATGACTGCAGGTCCAGATGGATACCAACATTATTAGACTCTTTATAGCGGTTTATTGAACTGGAAGCAGTGTTATTTGGGGGGTGCTGTTGCTAAGTTGGTGTCCCACCATGATGCCTTGTCATCATCCCCAGATTTGCTGGGCCCAGGAATCTGCATTTTCCAAAACCATATCCTAGCCTGGTAAAACGTATTCACAGGAGAGGTTGAGTTACTGATTTAGATGCTAAATTTTAGAGGAAAAGTTACAAAATACATAGGCAATGGAAGTTAGAATTTTCACTAGGTGGCTCTGTCTCATAGCTAAGGTTTGGCAGCACGGACAACTGCAGTATTTAAGGCTGGGTTTAAAGGCTTTAAGCATTGAAAAGATTATGGTGTTCCCCAGACCTGCCAATATTAATGCAGAATAAAGACAATACTAAAGCATAAAACACAAGTGTACATGTTGAAATAGCTTCCTTCTAGATGTGGATGTGCTAATTGGTAAATGTTGAATCCATTTATTGAACCAGAAACAGTCTTATTTTGGAGGTGCCACAGCTTAGCTGGTGTCCCATGATGATACTTGTTCTGCCTTGTAAGTATTCTGGCTCTGGTATCACTCATTTAGTCATTTGTTCGTTTATGTAACAATATTTAATGAGCTTGGCATAACAGTTAACAAAAAGGCAAACGTCTTTGCTTCTATGGAGCTTAGCTCCTAGTGGTGTGGATAGACAATAAACAGAGCAAATATAGAAAACATATGGCGTGGCAAGAGGTGATAAGTGCTCTGGAAAAAAATTAAGGTGGAAGGGGGGATAGAAGTTCCAGGGATAGGGGAGGAGAGACCAAGGAAGGCTTCCTGGAAGGTAAGAGTTAAGGAAATTCCTGAAAGAGGTGAGCAAGTGAGTCCACATGGCCCTGGAGGAAGAGGGTCCAGGCAGAGGGGACAGAACTGTGCCTAACCTTGGAGCAGCCAAGAGGCAGGACCCCTGATCCTTAGGTAGAAAATTCTGAGGCTTTCTTCCCAATTCAGAAGGAAGTCATGTTAGGCCATCCCTCTCATCTCCTTGTCAGTAGCAAAATTTGACTTGCTCTCTGTTGCTGGGTGACTACTGGCGCTGTCACTCAAACTGCCAAGTTACTACATTCTCCTTGTGGGGTTCAGTGAACACCAGTTAAGCACGACTTCGGTTCCTGAACTTGTTCTGGACACCAGAAGCTCAGAGGCTAATCAACAAGCTTGACACAGAAAATCAGAAGTTGCCAAATATGAGAGACAGAGAAGGAGCATCTAACCCAGCCTGGGCTGGGGGTGGGAGCAGGGCACCACCTATTTTTTTGACATTCTCTCATCCTACTCCCTCCCAACTCAATGACCTCTTTTTTTTTTTTCTAAGTCTCAAACATACCAAGTCCGTTCCTGCTTCAGGGCTTTTGCTGTTCCCTTGCCTTGGAGTTGCTTCCCTCAGATCTTTCCAAAAGTGTGTTCTCACCATTCAGGGGTGAAACAAATGTCTCTTCCTCCAGAAGGCCTTTCCAGGCCACTCTCCTGTGTCACCATCACTCTGTGTTGCCTCTTTTATTTCCTTCCTAGTGCCCTCACCGTTTGAGGTCATTGGTGCTGATACTAAAGCTCTTTCCCATCATCTCCATAAGAGCCAAGACTCAGTTTCTCTTCTTTGTTCCACCATCCTCAGGACCAGATAAATAGGAGACATTCAACAAATATCAATGAGCTGGGTGCAGTAGCTCACACCTGTAATCCCAGCACTTTGGGAGGCTGAGGCAAGAGGAATGCTTGAGCTCAGGAGTTCAATGCTGCAGTGAGCCATGATTGTGCCACTGCACTCCAGCCTGAGTGGCAGAGTGAGACCCTGTCTCAAAAACAAATATAATAAATATCAA